CATTTGCGAGAGGTTATTTGATGAGCGAGAGGAGAGGCAGGCAACTGCAGGCAAATGGAGGCAACTGCACAGCCACAGCCCACGCGGTGCCGGAGGAGAGGACAAACAAAGTGCCGCAGTTGTCAAGCGGCGCACCGTCAACAGAAACAACTACTCGTACTACAGAAAGAGACCCGTCTCCGTCTCTGACTCTTGCTCTTGCTCTGGCTCTGGCTCTGTCTCTGTCTCTGTGCTATGCTAATTACTGGACATGACGGCAGCGCAACGATTTTGGAATAGCAGGCAGGCCCCAATCCCCATCCCATTCCATGTGAACAAAAGGCGCAAACGTTTACGCACACTCCGAGTGGCAGTCGCCGTCGCAGTCCCGACTCGCATTTGCATTTGCATAAGCAGCCATAAAAAAGAAATAGGGGACAACGAGCAGCCAGAGGAAGAGTCGGAGGCAACTTAGCAGATACTACACGACAGCAACAGCCGATCCGGAGACTCTGTTATGGGACCTACGACTCAGTGAGAATTCCCCTTTCTTGGCGTCTTGTCTCTTTGGTGTGAAGAGAAATTTCCTTTTTGGTGGGATCTTTGAAATGTTTGTATGTGCAAATGGGTAATATGCATGTCCTGGCTGTTGTAATTGCTGGCCCTGTGATCTGGAAACTATTCAGATCTGATTCAAATACTCCTTTAATCCTTTCTAATCGTTCATCTTTATCTGCTTCCTCTCTTGGGATAGTAGAAAAGGATTGCTTTGTTGTTTATTTCATCCTCTACGATCATTATGCTGTCCAAAGTTCTTTTTAGTTTTCTGACACTCCGTCAAATGATTGACAGCAAAGTGGCTCCAGTTATTTCTCTGAATTTCTAATTGAATGAGCCGATGACAGTACGTGTATAATGAACCCCACTACATATGGGCCCCAGCATCATTAATCATTAACTGGATGAAATGGAATTATGCGAAGAAGAGGCGGAGAGGTGGCAGCAGAATGGAATTGCTGATTTGAAAACGCCAGGGAGCACGACGAGCAGCAATTCTAATTAGAGCTATTCAACAGATCTCCTCCAACTGCAGACTCGTCGGTGTCGTCGGTCAGCTCTGGTCTCTCCATATACGATACGGGAGTACGATGGAGTACACTGGCATCAGCCGCTGAATGGAGTCTGGTCTAGACCCAGAAAAAAGTAATACAACACGACAAAACATGTCCACAAAAATGTCAACTTGCATTCGGTTTGTTTCTTCTGGCTGATTTTGGCATCCCAAAACGTTGTAACCGCCAGAGAGGAACACGAATCCGACTGGGGACCGGGGACCGGCAACTGGGGACCAGGGTCTAGAGCTCCATCCCTCTGTCGATGTAAACTTTCGTTTTTCGCTTTTTGTGACCATTTTTGGGTAGCCGAGAAGGGGGTGATGTGATGAAGCACTGAAGTTTGGCCACAGACTCACGATATTTGCGTGCCAGAGCGAAATTGTGTGGAAGTCAATTGGCAGTCACGTTCAGTTGCCCTGGACCTGGTCCACAGCCAAACTTCCTCTCCATTCGGGCCAAATTAAATTGTCAGTGCAGTGCAGGAGAAGCCATTGGCAATGGCTGTTTACTGTGGCTGTAGCTGTAGCTGCAGGAAGAACTCGCCTCATAGAGTTATCTTTCGATTAACAAACGATTGAAATTAATTTTCCAATATTTCCGCATCCCCCGTCGACATTTTATGGCCATGAAATGTGTGGAAAACAATGACAACTGCAACAACTGCCCACAATTGTAGTCACAAATGCAGCCACAGCAGCAGCAGAGGCAACCACAGCAGCAGCAGCAGCCACAGCCACTGACAGCAACAACAGCAACTGAAGGAGGACCAAGCGAAAATCACGAACCCGGAAGAGGGCTTTAACGTCGAAGGAGGCTTCAGCTTTAGCCAGATCCAACTGTCTCCCGCTCCCTGTACCTTCTCTGTGTCACATGTTGCTGTTGCTGTTGCTGTTGCTTGCTGCTTGTTTCTGTTGCTGTTGCTGTTGCCGTTTGCCGTTGCTTTACTCTTTACTGCCTGCAATTTCTTCATTTCGGCCGCCCACCGAAGCCGAAATTTCTGTTGAAGATCAACCCAGAACCGGTCGTCATTGTTGCTGTTATCATACCCTTATAGAGGGTATTTTATCTCTGGCCAGCAGCTTCGCACGAAACCTTTTAGATCTAGATTACTCGAATCAAATAATTGTGGGCCACAGATCTTCTTTGGTCCGCAAAAACCCCACAAAACTGAAGAGTCGAAAGCTAATACATGTCACCACAAACCAACTGCAATTGAACCGAAATCAAGCCACAATTTCTACTTGAATTTCTGCAAGATATTCGTTGTAGATCGTTCTGGATCCGTTTATTGTAGCCGTTTATCCACAATCCTTTTAAATTATACCAAAATCGCATGGAAAGAGAATTCAAAGCTTTGGCTTGTGAAATCTTGACTTCATTTCTTGTTTTCGTGCTGAAATTTGTTCGCGCTTGTTGACAATTGTGTCGTGTAAGGGCTGCCCTCGACGGCCAGAAGAATTTGAAATGTGCAGCAAGCGTGTTGCAGCCAGAAATGGACAGCAACCGAAACGGAGACAAAGACCGGGACATGGACACTTTTGGAGTCGAGCCAACGGCAGCCAAACGATGGACTCCAGGGTGTAAATTACATTACAAGGAGAGCCGAGAAGCCGAGAAGCCTAGACGAACTTCTTTGACTGTAAGTGTCCGTGTCTGTCCGTTCAAAGTGGAAGCTGCTGCAGCTTGCAGTTGCTGCCGTAGCCGTTGCACTCGTCAAAATTGCCATCAATCATTCTGCCGCTGCTGTTGCTGCTGCTGCTGTAGCTGTGTCTGGCCTCAAGAATGCCGGACAAGTAGAAAAATGGAACCTGTTTGGCCTGGCACTGGCTATCAGTGTTAAATCTACAAGATCATTTTCCCTACAAACCCATAATTTGTGATTGTTACACGGCCCGTACCGAACTGAACCGAAACGAAACGTAACGAGGTCCGAGAGCCAGGCCAGTCGTCGTACTCTTAATAGACTCGTCGCCAGCCTAATGAATTGAAACGTTTCTGATGGCCTTGTTGGCCACGTCCACGTCGCCGGCTGCCATCGACTGCACTTTGGGGACTGCACTTTGGTTCTGTTCTTTCCCCCAGCAAATACATATATTCTCTTCGCTGACTGACTGCGAGAGTAGTGCCTCCAGTCCATCAGGTTTTTGGGCCTATCAATTGGAGGGAATCTCGCACGAAGTGACTGACTGGCAAGACCGCCCGTAAAGCCAGAGTCAACGAATAGTTTTAGGTCTTTTGATTAGTAATCAGTAGGGAAACTCGGTCATCCGCAGCCTCACCTATATATGATGCTGGTATATAGCGATCTCCTTTGAGATCGTCTGGCTCCACAAACAATTTCCATTCTCCGTTCTCCTTTGGCTCCGGTTCGTGGTTAGCTCTTTGGCTGTGGCTGTGCCTGTGCCTGCGCCTATCGCCAACTGTCATCATTTTCAAATTATTTCTCGTTGAATATCTAATCAAGATTCATGCATGATCGCGGCTAAATTGCTTCCAGGCAAGACCAAGACACATAGACGGCCACAGCATAACAATTGCCGGCGGATGGGGGGACCCTGAACCTGGTCCTGGTTTTGGTTTTGGTTTTTGGTTCTGGTCCAGGGTCTAGGCAATCCAACATCCACCAGGGAACGAACGTGCACAACATTTGCGCAGAGGAGGAGCTCGCTTCTCCAGCCTTTTGCTGTTTGATTTTTCCACAAACTTTTCCATTGTTTTCCGCCCCGAGCATCTCGAGCAGGTTAATAGTGTTGTTTTCTGGCTGGGGGATTTTAAAAGGCTTTTATTTTTGTTTATTTTTATTTTTGGTAGTAACCCAACGACGAATTCTGCATCTGAAATTAGCTCTGACAATTGTTCGAGACAACTTTTCGCCCATGTAATCGCTTATGTCTCTCGACTGTTGTTGATTCAGTCATACTCGTATATGGGCATACTTGAACTTTAGCTTGACTTTATTTTTCTTAATTGAAACTAGCCAGAGTCTGTAGGTAAATAATTCAATTACACACGAGGCTCTGACTCAGCGCGATTCCCCCCATATTCCATGGCCCATTCCATGCCCAAGGAGAATGCAGTTGCAGTGTGGCGCGTAGCCACAGGGTGCCGAGTGCTGAGTGCCTCTATGTTCGTCCAAGTATTATTAAATTATATGAAATTCGTTGTTCATTTGGTGGTTAATTCGCTGTCGCTGCCACTTAATTGTTATTAACTTTCGTGTGACATTTGTGACTTCTCCCAACGCCGCTCCACAAAGTGTTGTGTGCCTCAATTGACGCCCATATGGGGTGGTGTCGTGCCGTATCACTCGTAAATTGATGACCCAAAATGGCCTTCTAATTGTTTTATTAGATTTCCACAGGCCACACGAGCCAGCAGCAGCAAGTCGCTCGCTGGCTTGTGCCTGCTGGAATCCCTTTTTGGGGCAACGCCTCTGCCCAGCTGGCCAGGGGACCAATTTCAGGGGAGTCCATTGTTGCGCGCACCAGCAGGAAGGGAGGAAATCGAATCAGCAGATATACAAACACTCAGCCGCAGGGCCCCAGACTTTTGACATTTTTATTTGTGTGCCAGAGAACCTGTAAAATTTACGAGCCAACTGCTGGAGGAAGGATTGGTGGAGGAGCAGCAGTGACCAGTAACCATATTTTTTAGCACCGCCGCATGAAATTATTATCAAACATGCAAATCTTCTCCTCCTGCTCCTGCTCTTGCTCTGAGCTCTTGCACCGTGTGGTTGCGGGCATCGTAAATTGATTTTTATGCTGCTTCTGTTGCAGCCCCTGCCAGCGCCTCCCGGGTAATATGTAGTAGGAGTCAGTCCGTTCTCTCTTCCATTGGGTTCTAAGTCAAAATATTCAGTTTCACATAATTTCATTCTGCATTCTGTTCTGCCGTCCGTTCCAGTCGCCTGCTACTTGTCTTGTTGAAGACAAAAGCCACGCCGCCACGTAATTGAAATTGAAGCCCGGCCAAAGCTCGGGAGGAACAGGAGACAGAGAGAGAGATAGAGAGCCAGGATGGTCTTAGTGCTGAATGGCGTGCTGCAGGATGATTGCCCGATGGACACCAATAGCCTGTTCCTGCAGCATCCCGTATACAGAGATTATGCCCAGCAGTTGCACTCGATACAGGCCAAGTCCGTGGGTCCCGTGGGCCTACTCTATGTCGGGCAGCGGGAGCTGGCCGCCTCTGCCCCGCACGACAAGAACGTCAACATCATTGGCGCCGACGATGCCACCACCTGTATTATTGTCGTCGTGAGACACTCGGGTATGTTGCATCCATAAATTGGCTTCGTTTGCCTCGTTAACCCTGCTTACCTTCTCATCTGACCTAACGCATAACGCATTCCCTTGCAGGATCTGGGGCCGTGGCTTTGGCCCACTTTGATGGAAGCGGTGTGGACGAGGCTGTCTGCACCATGGTCTCTCGGGTGCAGGAGCTGGCCCTGGGCTATCCCGAAGGACGCATCGAGTTGCAGTTGATTGGTGGCTATCGGGACTCGAAGGGCTACGGCGAGGATGTCTTCTATAGCATTATGCGTGAGTGGAAGTGCCATCAGCGGCAAGTGGCAGGCTCTAAAGGCAATATCCTTCCAGAATCATTCCACAATCATCACCTCGAGATCGATTTGACGCAGGCCTGCGTGGGCGAGCTGAACACCATGCTGCGCGGCGAGATCAACTGCCCCATCATTTATGGGGTGGGCGTGAACATCAAGACTGGTGAGATCTTTCCGGCCAGCTTCCCAGACCGAGGCCCCGACCGGGAGCTGCGCGATGCACGTATCTTCATGGGTGCGCAGTCGGTAAGCGATTCGAATCGGAATAGAAATCCCCGCGCAGTTGTCACCTGACCAACCAACTACTCTCCACTGGCGTTTCAGGTTCTGGATGTGTACGACTCCACGCTGGGAATGCTGCGCATCGGGCCCTTCAACTATGATCCACTGCGCGGCGCCGACTTGTGGCTATCGCAGACGGATGAGTTTCTGCTGCAGCATTTGTCCTCCAGCCCCGATGTGGAGCCGCCACACTTTGCGCCCCAGGTGCGTGCTTGCGTGTGCTGCTGCCCCCCCGCTGGGAGTGAGGCGATCTAATTGCTTTTTGCTCATTTCAGACGCGTGCCACCATCAAATTCATACAGGAGAACCAGTTTCCCGCTGTCACCGTCTTCAGGGACAATCGACCACGCTACTTTCGGCGCGACGATGCCACGGGGTGCTGGGCTCTGGTTAGATATTAAAGCTTAATTTAGTGCTTAGTTGTTACACAAGTAGTTGAAACGCGTCATGGACAGTTGTCGCAGATGTCGGAATGTATAAATTGGTGCATGTGTTAATCGTCGTTACCATTTGCAGTGCTGCCACCCCACCACCTGCTACCCTCCGCATATAATTTCCACTTGATTGTGGCCGCTCTGCTCTGCTTACTTTTGTTTGAATTTAATCCTTGAGTTAATTGTATTTGGCTGTATTTGTAACCGATATTGATAATCCATGCAGTACCACACAATTATTTATAACTCAATTAGATTAGCAATTGCGATGAGTGGAACATTGCTTGTTGTATCTCAAATAATCTCTCTCTTCAATTAGATTCAAGAGTGAGTTCGGATGTGAGGACCCTTTGGGACGCGCCTTAGAAATGGATCTGAACGTAAAAACGAAACTTATTAATATACCTATGTATGTATGTAATATGTGTATATGCTGCATATGTATGTATGTGTGAGAAAATAGTATATGCATATGACCACAATTAACAAATCTTATTAATATTTAAAAGAGATTCTTAGCAAAATATATATACGAAATGCATACACAACATTTGTAAACGAAACAATTTCAAATGCAATCATTTTTAGTTGTAACTGTAAACTGTAATCAAAAGTGTACGAAATATAGAAATGGCTTGGCTATACATACATAAACTACGAAAGTATATAATTTGTTTTAATTGAAAAAATCGGAATTAAAGCTGGGTAAATTGAGTAATTTGATTTGAATTCATATTCAAACTGCCAGTTGGTATTTTAAAGCAAATAGTTAGTATTTTTCGGGAAGACTTGTAGAAAGGCGAGCCCGACAGCCCTGAAGACAAACTATCGTTGGATATCATCGAATGTTACTATCGATGTTTTTCCAGCTCTGTAGCTCCGAAAATACCAAAAATACCAAACTATATCATCAGTATATTAGTGGTGACACCTGTTCAATTATAACCACACATTTCTTCAGTGATGACACCTGGTTCAATTTTAACCACACATTTTTCTTCAGTGATGACACCTGGTTCAATTTTAACCACACATTTTTCTTCAGTGATGACACCTGGTTCAATTTTAACCACACATTATGTGGAGGACTCTGGAGACTCTGGAGACAGATCTGAAGAGGCCGGAGGATTTATCCTTGAAAGCTCTGGATTTTGTGACGTCACACCTCAAACTTTTATCCTTGCGTCGCAATTCAAAGTTTAACTTCAAGTTCTTCTTCTTCCTATTTGTGGAAAATTTGTATTCTTCTTCCTATTTGTGGAAAATTTATCTTCTTCTTCTTGTTTGCCTACTTTTTTTGTTAGGGCTGCCAGATCGGTTCAAGGCGAAACGGGTAGAAAAACGAGTCTGGCAACGCCACAAAAACGACGTCACATTCATTTTATGTTGTTTTTGTTTGAACCTTAATATGTAAATAATCCAATAAAAAGGACTTCTGAAAACTTGCCAATCTTGTAGAAAATTTATGGGCTGAGAGGTAGTTGTCCCTAGTAATATAAACGGAATACCAAATTCGAGGAATATCAACGTTGAATGTTTTGAAAAAAACAGTCGATACTATCGTGATAGTATCGGACTCAAATAATTATTAAATAACCATTGAAACCTTTTAGGAACTTGTCCATTGTAAAAATTAGATGTCACCTGTCGATTTGTTTACAAATGTGTCTTCGTATTTTATAGCAGCCAATCCAAACATATCAAAAGCGCAACGACTGTAGCTCGATACTATCATGATAGTCGCAAAACCGTCGATAGTAGAGGCTAGCAGTAAAATATCGATACTATCGATAGTGCCCTCGATGGTTTGACACCTCTACCGGATGGTATTTTATCGTTATCGGTCGTTCGTCGTTGTCAAGTGGGGCAAAGTTGGTTGTTTTTTCTGCTTAAATTCTATTTCGCGTTGATTAATTGCTTTTTCTAATGATATAACTACAACGAATCACACTAAACATAGTTTGCGCTTGCAGAGCAGGCATTTTACGAGGACGAAAAGAAATTCAAAAGACTGAAACCATTCAATCGCTGCACCTGCTCCACAGACGGAACGGGTGTGCATCGCGATTTCTAATCACTCGCAAGAGACTTTCTTCCACAACAAGCAACAAGAAGAGCGCCCCAGCCCCTGCAAAGCAACAGTAACCGCAGCCATACATATACAGAAGTGTGCCGTGCCACTTTTAAACCTTAAACGCCGTCCAATTAAATAACCAGAGCACTGAATCGCCGTAGAACTTGCGATATTACCTTTCAAAGAGAAATAGAGAAGTGGGGTGAAGAGGCACCTCGGGCCACCTGGCTGGCGGGCGGCATAGGGCAGGGCGTTATTTCATAGTTTCGCTTTGGACAACGACGACGACAAGACGTAAGTTTGGAATTTTTTAAATTACGTTTTCTGTTTTTTTTTATTGCATGGATTGCTGACAAGTTTGCGACTCACACACACGCACAGTTAGGTTTTAGAGCTGCCAAGTTGTGCCGAATTCGACATAACGGTGCATTCCCTGCGTGTTTTCTATAAAAGAAGCATTTTTGCGACATTGTCTGTGTGTGTGTGTGTTCGGCATTTTAAAAAATTGTTTTATTCAGCTGCTTTATTTATCGTTTCCAGCGAACAAATCCAATAGTTGAGACAATGAATGGACAGCCACATATTGGCGGAGGCAGCACCTCGAAATTTAACCTGCATATTACGCATCTCGATCACGTTGGCCCCTATCTAAAGGTCTATGGCCAGATCAATCGCGATGCTGCATTATTGATCACCAAGCGCATCGAGCATGTGCTGCCCACATGCTTTGCCATCGAGCCCACATGGTCCATCGAGCGGGAGCAGGCTCTACTCACCCCCGGCACAGTGTGTGTGTTCAAGCAGACAAACGGGGCCGCTCCCGGGGACTCGGAGTACATGCGAGCGCGTGTGATGAACGCCACTCTGGATGGGAACAAGCGTATGCGCGTCGAGATAGAGTATCTCGATTACGGCTTCAAACGAACTGTGAGCAGCCACGACGTGAGTACCACCGATCGACTAGCACCGCTTTGAGCAGAATATCTAATGCGCATTTCCCTACTTCCAGTTAATGTTCCTCAAGCAGCCGAAGCTTCTTCAGAATCTTCCCGTTCTCTGCTCACAGTACATTGTCCTTGGCATCTGCGCCGAATGGGACAAAAGCGACCTGGCGACAGTGCATGAATTGATTGTCAACCAGACCGTCCAGCTTACCATCGATCCAACCCAGATCTGTGGCCAGTCCTTTGCCAGTGTGCGCTGGAAGGACTTCGATTTGACTGAGTTTCTTGTGCAACAGAAACATATCGGTGCTCCGGTGTCCACTCAACTGATGCTCGATCATTGCAAGAAGCTGTGGAAGGATTCTCCGCAGTCGCCAGTTATGGAGTACAACAACAACAACATAATAAGTTTGGGCAGCGCCTCAAAAACCCCCACGGATGTGGCACGTGAGCAGCTGGCTGCCCGGCGATCCCTGTCCGCTCGCCTCGAGATGCAACGCGTCGTTACCGCGACCCCCTCGAGTGTGTTGAATCCAGGTGCCGCTGACTACGCTCCCAAGCAGCAGCAACCTTTAGCTAATTTGGTAAGACTAATTTTTCCCGCCAAAAAACAATCTGAAGATATTCAATACTTTTGTGACCATTGCAGACAAATGTGATACCACCTCAAGCCCTGGTCAATACTCAAAAGCCCAACTATGAGGCGAGCAATCCCTTTAACGTGCCCAAAGCCGACCCCAAGCAACAGGTCTATAACTACTACAATGTGCGCATGAACAAGCCCGCACCCAAGGCCGTAATTCTGCAGCCGTTTCTGCCGTCACCACACGCAATTGGTAGCTACGCCCCGATGACTTATGCGCCGGCACGCTTCACACCGCCACCGGCGAGTGTACAACGGCCAGCAACACAGCAACGCACCATTCCGGCATTCAGGACCACCAGCCTGACACTGGGCCTGACCTATGACGTGCACGTGAGCTATGTGGAGAACGGGCCGCATCTATTCTGGGTGCAGCTGAAGAGCGCCGTCAAAGAGCTGGATGCCATGATGGAGCAGATTGAGCGTATGCGTCTGCAGCCACTCCCCCAGGCACCGGAGGTGGGCTCTGCTTGCGTGGCCCGCTTCTCTCAGGATGGAAATTGCTATCGTGCCTTGGTGAGCTCCATAAAGGAGCAGCGTTTCCGGGTGGTCTACGTGGACTACGGAAACTCGGAAGTGTTGCCATCGAAAGATGTGTACCAAATACCCTCGGAGCTGTTGCAGATCAAGCCTTTTGCCTTCCGCTTTGCCCTGGCCGGAATCAAGGAGATCGAACCCATTGACGAGAGCATGAAGCGGATCTTTAAGAGTTCGGCTCTGTATATGGACTTCCAACTGACGGTGCAGCCGCCAGAGAGTGTGGGCTCCATGCAGACTTGCCATCTGAGCTTTAGAGTGAGTCGGATCGAAGGGATTTGTTCATCAATGAATCACAACTAACGAGAGATTCTCCATTTCAGGGCAACAATATACTCTCAGAGCTGAAGCAGCAGAAGAACTCGCTGCAGGAATACGCAAAGGCGGACCATTTGTTGAACGACGACGAAGTGGAGATCCGCTACATTGACTCGCCCAGCAACTTCTATGTGCAGAAGGTGGCCAATATCGGAGAGTTTCAAGTGCTGATGGATAACATGTTCACGTACTACAACATAAACCAGAACGTCCCTGACAATCTCACCCTGGGTGCCCCCTGCATCGTAAAATGTGATCAGGAGTGGTATCGTGCAGAAATCCTGCGCGTCGATGACTCCGTAATTGTGCGGCACGTGGACTTTGGCTACGAGCAGACGGTAAAGCGCCATCTGATCGGGCATATTGCCAAGGAGCATTTAAAGATGCCGCGCCAGGCCATCAAGTGCTGCCTGAAGGGCTTCGAGCACAGCGAGCTGGGGCAGGATAAAATCACCGACCAGTTCGAAATGCTGGCCGAAGAGTCGAACATCCGACGCCGCACCTTCAATGTGCGCGTCTTTCGCATCGAGCCCGACGGCCTAAATGTTGTGAATCTTCTCGCCAAGAACCTGAACGTCATGAAGAAGCTCTACAAGCTGTCCATGCCCTTTGACAAGTACCTTTCGCTGGAGAAGGGCCAATTCAATGGCAACACCACTCGAGCCGAGTCTGTTGTCTCCTCCGAACTAGACAAGGATCTAATTCTCAACTCCACCAGCATCGTGGAGAGTGAGGATCGCTCACACCAAGAGCAGCAGCAGCTGCAGCAGCAGCAACCTCCGCCACAGCAACTGCAGGCAATCCGAGGCAAGGGCTCCAGTGACTGGGACAAGCGCAGCTCAGCGTCAGCCAATTCCAGGGACAGCAAGCATCCCCAGCAGCTGCAGAAAATCGAACGTAACCTAGACTCCAGCTTTGACAGTCAGAGCGTAGGCAGCTATAACAGTGGGGGTAGCTCGCCCCGCAAGGGCAGCCGACAGAACGGACGCAGTCAGACGCAGTCGCCGCGGCTGCTGAATGGAAATCCAGAGGCAAATAAAAACACGTAAGTAGTAGAGCTTGGCTATCATGACTCTTCGTCGCATCATTAATTCTTTGTATCGTTGGCAGACGCTTCAGCAACAGTCGGTCGCCGCGCAAGG